TTGGGCGGGCGGGCTAGGCGTGTGTTCAACCCTCGGAGCGACAGGTCTTGCCTCTCGAGTTGAAATATACTCAAGTCCTCGTTCTGTGGAATTTATTCCGAGAGTTTGAGGTCCTGTGGCTGTAGGTCCGGAGCCCACAGGCTCTGCCTTCAGCATCTGCGTATAGTTTAAGTTTTCGATATCTGGTGCAGGATTTTCTGTATATATCCTAGGTATTTGTAGCTGGGCCGGCGCCCCTGGTATTCGCGCTTGCCCAAAATCCCCTCTAGCCTTGCTTGAAGAAAGAAATCCTCGCGGTTTACTTCCACCTTGAGAACTGGTGGTTGGAGGGGCCGAGGGCCCTAGAGTACTTCCCGTACGGAGCTGCGGGGAGGCCATTTCCTTATCCATGAGACGCATGTCTTCCCTGCGTGGATACGTGTAGGTACGGGACGGCTGATCATGAGTTGTTTCGAAGGGGTGTTGTTCCAAGCCTTGTGTAACGGTACTAGTGTTAGCACCGACACCAATGCGAAAGTCGTTACCAACGTTAGCCCTCTCGCCTGGTTGCATTTCTTCGTCAGGCATGCTTTCTGCGGCTTGTGTATAAGAGGTCCCTAAGCACTGCTGGAACAGTTTCTCTCGGAACTCAGGGCTTCTCGTCAACTGAAGCATAGAAGCGGTGATGGCGCTTTTGATGTCGTCGCTCGACGGGTAGCTACTGGTTGCATTTTCGCCGATGAGCTGTTTCCCGGCCCTGTAAAAGACGAGTGCAAAATCAAGGAGGATCTCTAAATTATCTTGGGCTATCAAGGACCACTTCTCGTCGAAGCATGCGTCGGGCGGAAGTGTTTCCGCAAGCCAGGCTTCGGCTTTCCTTGAAAGCGGTATCGATGGGATGCCGATATCGCGGTCGCGGCCAGAGCTGGAAATGCGATAGATTTTGGTTGGATCAAGATGGTCAATATCCAGGGTTTCCAATAGAGCCTTTTCGACCTCAGGCCCGTATGCATCTGAAAGGAAGTTTTGGGGTTCTGAAACGTCATCTTGCGAAGCCGAAGCCGAACTAATCCGAGACGGCAACTGGGAAAACCGTTTCCGCCGATTTCGAAAAGGAAGAAGGCTTAAAGAGGGACCGTAAGAGTATTCCCTTTTCTGTTTTTTTGGGAAATGCTCTAGATGGTACCGGTCAAAAATACTGCGACCGAAGGAGATAAGGTCAAACATTGTGGAATTCCGCTCAGGGAGCGGCCCAGCCGTGTGGCGCGGGCTCACTTGAGAACGAGAGCGAGGGGAACTGGGGACAAAACCACAAGAGGAACCAAAAGCATTTCGTGCCGACTAATCAAGGTAAAGAGCCGTGGCGAAGTGCAGTGCAAAATTGACGATATCGATAGAAGGCCAGAGCTTTTACTCCCAAAGGGCTTCGAGGGTTGTTCTATCGAGGTGCCTTTCGACCAAGTGTGCTCTCGAAAATTTCTCAAGCCAATAAAAGGTGTGAAGGATGCGGCGCTGTTTATATACTTCACGGATAATTTGTTCAGCCTTCTGCGCTGCTGTCCTACGTCGGTTGATGCACCAGCCTTGGGCGAGCGAGCGGAAGGCGGGGACACCTACATACACATACACACACATACACACACACCTGTACATACAGACGAACACGCAAGCAAGCGCAAGTACGAATCAATTATGGATGGGGGTGTGACTTTCGCGTTTGAATTTGATCTGTCGACGCCAATGAACGCGAGCACGCAGTTTTCGAGAGGGGACGTTTTAATTCGATGAGCTCTGTGGTATGATTCGATGCAAGTGGTGGATCTATCGACTGGGACCCAGCTAAAGCCAAGACCTGGTTGCAATTGTCGCAGTTGAGATAAAATTTATAAGTTTCCAATATCACATCTGTGTAGATTTCCAGGGCCCAAACAATTGCATGATGCTAGTAGGGGCATGATGCGGATGAGAACAGACAAAAGTACCTACATACTTCCGTTCGGTGGTTTTATAAACTAATACATGACATGTCGACATACGATGGCATCGCGATCTCATCGAGACGAGCTCGGGGTTTTAAATTTGGTTCTCGCGTGTATGTATATATACCTAGGTATGGTAAATTAATATAATAAAACCGAGCATAGTATCGCTGTCTACATGCTATTCCGCTATCAAAACTGCGGCGACAGCGATAACCTGGTTAACGGTTGGAAATCGATCCATGTCCGCTGAAAAGTTGGCGACGAAGAGGTTGCCTGTTTTCCCTAGCACCCGCACGTCTCAAATATCCCAATACTCGCTCGCCACCACCCTTGATCCCTTCCTAATAAACTTCCGGACAATTCCCATAGCTGCGAAGCTTCCGCCATGCCTTGGCAGGATTGCGATTTGGTTCATCCACTGGAGCGGAGGACAATGCACGAATGCTATAGCTAGCAGCATTATATGCATACGGTCTCGATTTGGGTCATGAATGAGGAGCCTGGAGGTTTCAAAACAATAAAACTCGATCGATGTAGCGCGATGCATGTTGATATATTAACTTATAAAAAAGTCCATGCTTCACAAAGCTTTCGAGTGAATGGACTCGATGCTACCTCTTTTTTTTCTTCTTCCTTTTTTCCTCTCTCCGTTCTTTTTCTTGTCCTTCTCCTTCTATCACGACGTCTGATGTGGATATATGCTGTCAGTGGTTCGAGGGAACATTGTTCGTGGTGTTTGAAAAGAAAATTTCTTTATCTATCGACCAGGTTCCTTCAGAAGAGTCATAATGCTCGGTGTACATACATGTCTGCAGCATGCCAAATATTTGCTTTTGACTCGTATTTGTTGATAGATGTTTCTATCTTTCTTCTCTTCCTTTCTTTAACCTTTTTTTTTTTTTTTTTTTTTTTTTTTTTCGGAAGAGAAGTAGCTATCTCATAAAAGAGCCACTTTCTTGCAGAGGAGAAAGAAAAGGGAAAGAAATGTTACCAGGGAACCGTCAATTAATTTGCGTGCCAACTCTCTGCCCATCCGTTTGTTTGATATATGATGGTCGACTAACCAGCTCCAGACAAAAAGAAGTCGAGAAGAGAGAAAACCCTTTGCAAAACTGAGACCCGGCAAGACTGCGCCAGTTCCTTCATTGATTTTTCGAGATCCTAAGTATCTCGCTCTTCTACCCCCCAGTGCTACTATAGTATTTATTGTGGATATCGCGATAGTAACTTTCGGAAGTTTCATTTTAAATTTTCTAAGCCCGAGGCATAATCAAAGGCAAGTATAGAGCTGCTAGTCGTATCGTGAATTAAGGATTCGAATATTAGATTCGCGTTGGGATCATGATATCATTGCAAGACGGATAGGAGAAAACCCGGATAGGCCTGATCGATAGTGATAATGGGTTGGTAGATACTTAGGTACGTGGGCTCCGCCCCTCTTCGCGAACAAGCCCAACTGCTTTTTTTCGGAAGGAAAAAAAATAAAATAAAATAAAACCAAAAAAAAAAAAACGCCAGTTCCAGGCGAAACACTAAAAGAGTAGTTTCAGTCCTACGCAAACCGACCAACATATAATGTATCGTAATTGAGTAAGTAAGTATGTATGTATGGACCAAACCTTGCGACAGCGCGAGAAATCTATGTCCGCAAGCGAGTCCTAGAGGTTGTGTTTCCTAGCTAGCCTAGCAGCTCCATACGGTTGAGATCATGTTTGCAAATTAAGTCCGCCCAAATGCAAACCGGTGAAAAGCAGAGTTGACAAAGCTGCTTCGCGCTATAGTATCGCGAGGGGCCAAGTTCCAAGTCGCTAGCGAACCTACTTATCTGGCAGACAGAATTGGTAACAGCCCGCGGTGAATCAAGACGCTAGCTAGCTATAGATCTATATACCTAGCGCTGGAGCACCTAGCTAGCTTGAATGTTTGGCACTGCCCTCTTAATATTTTTGTGATGCGCGCAAACTAGGATATAAAGCTCAGGTCTGCCCATATGTCCTAATTCTTTCGCCTTGAACTAGCGATGAGGGGGCAGCGAGATAGCTTTGCTATCTAGGGGAGGACTTGTGGGCAAGGAACAAAGTACACATTTCGCCCGTCCATTTACCTTACCTCTTTTTGTATCTTCTGCTGCGGCCCCTTCAAATTAGCAAGTTAGCAAAGCCCACCAAGTTCATCAAAATGATGTAGTTGTAGTTGGAGAGTCCTACATACTGTTCTGTAGCAGGCGAGTTTAGCTTTGACAGCTTGTGTAGATGGTATAAATACCTATACCGTACCTGCCTTTGTGCCGCTCTTACTCTTTATTCCATAGCCAAAGTAGCCCAAACCTCTCCCATTTACCACGATACTTCTCTTTCCATTCATAAGTATCTGAATTTCGCACAGGTCAAGAGCCTCTTTCTTCCTCAATCCTTCCATTATCTCGAACCACAATCGAATCCTGCACAGCAAGACCGAATCCTACTGGTCGCCAGGAACATTGCCATTTTCGGCTTTTAACACCAAAAAACACACAGCAACACCAGTTCTTCAGTATAAATAACAAAATGCCAGCTCCAATTTCTACTCCTTCGAACACCCAGTCCAAACGAACTGGCTCAGACCCCTCCTCGCAAACTCCCAGCAGCACTGATACGAACTGGCATGATATCAGAGCAGCTGCTGCCTTGCCACCGCGTCACCAAAGGGTCGAAATCTATGGTGGTTCTGCCTTCCGTTCTGCTGGATACCAACGTCAACCACAAGCCAGTAAGTTTCCCATGGGCTCTATATTGTTTCTCGTATACCTACGAAGGCGAACTTGCTAACCAAAGATAAACCATCACATAGACCCGTCGACCGGAAGCTCTCTAGCCGGCGCCCGCGGCTCATATGCTGGGTCCTCTGGTTAATCCCAACCGCAAAGCTGCCGTCCAGTGTACTTTCCACTGGAGTCCACGCTAAAATTCCGTTATGGGAGTGAAACCCCTCTGGAGATTTTGTGTTGGAGACCGATTTACCAAAAGCCTTTATATTGTCTGCTCGTGACCTCCTTTCCATGGTTTCATGGTGTAGTTGGTTATCACGCGACCTTAACAATGTTCTTCTTCTTGAACAGAGTTCGGTCGAGGTCTTGAGTTCGATCCTCAATGAAATCATTTTTTTTGATTTGGTTCTCTCTCCCTTCCGCCCAAAAAATACCCCTCCATAAAAAAAAACTTTCCACGAACATCCCCTAGTTTCCTACAGTGCCCTTATTGCTTCTTCTTTTTCAACGGCGCTTTCGGAGTTTGCGTGTGGCAGAGTTTGGTTTGCCTGGCCATAGCATAGCATTGTGTAGACTTTGGATCCTTTTAGCCTGCATATTTCCTTCCATTTTCCCTTAGTTTTTCTTTGAGGTTTTCTTCCATTTCCCCTTTTTCTCTTACGAAAACAGAAAAAACAAAAAGCAGTTTTCTTTTTCTTTCTTTGATTTTGTTGGAGGTTTTCTTCTTTTTCTTGCTTTCTCCCTGAAGCGCCTTTTCTACAAAAAAAAAAAGTATTCGCACTTACTGGCCTGTACTGTTTGTCTTCGTTAATTGTCTTGCTTTTGCTTTTATGTCGAAGCCCTTTGGACATCGTAGAGCCGCTCGGTTAGTCGCGATATCCCCGTTCAGTGCATATTCTTCTTTCCTTTGTTTCCTCCTAGTTTCTTCAACGTTTTCATATTTCTATATAACGGCGTTCCTGCACAAGCGTTCTGGATAGAATACATTGTATTGATAGTTGATATATACACATCGCATTTTTTTTGCTTAAAACACCGTGACTTTTAACCCCGTCGTTTAAAACTGCGTGCTCGGTCTATAGGTTTATATTATCAATATTGTGCGATTGGCGGGGAAGATTGTGTTTCTAATATTCTAGCTCTGCGTCGGTGTGATTGAAAATTTCGTCAGATTAAGTAGGTATATGTATACGTTAGAGCTAAAAGGTACTGCAGGTAGGTAGATACAGGAATATACAAAAATATATAAGGGAAGAGGATAAAAGAAGGTATACGGATCAAATTATGTACTAAGAAAATGGATGAGGAAAAAGAACAAGGATCTGCTTTTTTTCTGGATTAAAATGGGTATTCAAAAAAACATGTAAAAAATCCGAAAGTTGCAAAATTATAAATAAAAAAATAGCAAACGTTGAGGGGGTAGGCTGGGGCGCTAAGAAAGGCGAAAAAATATGAAACGAAAAAGGATATTGAGGTAAAAAGAACTGGACGCTAGACATCATTATTGTAGGGGACAACTGGGGACTCCACAAGAGACATTACCTTCAGACATTAAACCGAGCATCAACAAAGTTCGGGTGGGCGTACAAACTAAAAACTAAGGGTAAGAAAAAGGAGATCAACTAAAACGAAAAACAAAGGAAAGCAGTAATTTTTATGATGTTGAAACCTGGTCGCCATATGGTGTACGATCCAAATCTGATAGCTCTCCCTCGTTGAGTATTTTAGCGTCTCATATATGGACTATTCATCGCGAATCCGGGGACACCGAGATCATCCTCGTCCTCGTCCTCGTCATCATCGACGATGCTTTCCATGTTGACCTGAGCACTAGTAAGGGCATTGGCTATGTCCTCATCTTCTTCAACAAAGTACTGCGGCCCTGGCATGCTGGATCCGACGTCGTCGTTGGCGTCTTCATCATATACGAAAGCAGTGCTCTTCTCGCTCCGTTCGCTTCTTTGGCTGGAATGGCTTGGAGCCCTCTGCCTGATTCTTGACGAGCTTGCGCCGGCCGTAAGCGTAGACGTGGAGCTGCTAACTGATGGGGAGGGTCGTGAGGCTACTGGCTCGCTGCTAACACGGCTTGTCAGCCCTGCGAACCTATCCTTCGCGAGACTCGATGCCAGCGCCGCCGGTTTGCTTAATGATATTGGTGGGGTCAGCAGCCCTGTCAAGAAGTTCTGCCTCGATGTTGGTCTGGATGGTGATTGATGTGCGCTCCCTTGATCCGATGACTCCTTTGCCATTGCTGATGCCGAAACCGAAATGTACCCAGGATCATCGTACTTGGCTTTGCCTTTCCTCAACCCTCCCAGTGCCCCACTAAAACCACGGTTGGCAATCCCGTACAGGCTGCCGACGGTCGTAGCCGGGGTTTGCTCAGTGGAGGCGTTTAATGCCGCGTTGCGTTCCCGTTCCTGTTGCTCCATCTCGAGGTTTGCCTTCAGCCTGATAGCAGCATTACGCACAATGACCTTATCAAACTGGGGTTTGCTGAGCTGGCGGACAATTTCCTCGAGCTCGCCAATGCGAACGCTAAGAAGCTCGCGAAGGAAAACATTTTCGTGCTCGATGTCTTTAGCTGCCGGAGATTTACGAAGGGTTTCGATTTCCTCGGCAAGGGTTTCGATAGTAGCTTCCTTGTCTTGGAGTTGTTCTTGCAAGACGGCAAGGGATTCACGCAGGGCCTTGTTGTCGGCAGCGGATGGCGTGTTCTTGGTTTCCACGGTGTGATGAGGGGCGTGATGTCGAGTAATTGCTGGGGCTTTGGCACCTTGAGCCGCGATAACAGCAGCCTGGGCGGCTTTCTTTGCGATTTCCAATTGGTTTTCTAGGACTTCAATCTTATCGGTATAAACGCTCTGTTGTGCCTGTTGAACTTCCATCTGCTCCTTCAAGAATATTCTTTCGCGTTCAATGTCCTCAATGGCGTTCTCAACATCGCGCCTGTGTTTTTCCCGAAGGGCCTCGATCATATTTTCGTATCGCTGGTGTTGGTCCTCGAGCTTCGCGGTATTCTGGTGGGCTTCATGCTGCATTGCAACCTCGTGTGAGGTTTTCATTTCGCGGATGAAGGCATCCTTGGACTCGATAGCTTCATCGTGCAACATATTTAACCTCTCCTTAGAAGTCTCGGCCTCCATCATGATTTTGCTGATCTCGGCCTCCAGGTTGATCTTCACGCTTTCGGATTCCGCACGCGCAGCGTCGAGCTGAGCTTGAAGTGCCAGAGAAATTTTGAGCGCGTCATGATTGCTGCTATCTCTCTCTGTAACCACGGCCCGTTCTTTGTCGATGACCTCTCCCCTCAATCGGTCTACCAGTGCCTCCATCTTTAGGTTGTCTCGCCTAACTTGTTCGACCTCCACTCTCAGTCTGATAGCCTCCCTCTCCTCATCTTGCATTCTTAGCACATCAGCCTCCATACGCTCTTTCAACTTGAGGATGTGCTCAAGTTCGATCCTAAGCCTAATTGCGTTCTTTTCCTCGGCCTCTAGTCGTCTCATCTCCTCTTCTCTGCCCTCTCGCATTCTTAGTTCGGTATCAAGCCTAGTCTCGAGAGTATGGATGCGATTCTTTTGCAGTTCGTTCCTCTCTCTCCACCTCGCTTGTTTGTTCTCCACTTCGGCTGCAGCCTTGATGACCTTATCCTGGAGATCTTCCAGTCTCGTATTTGAGCCGTCGTGTAGCCTCCTTGATTCTTCAAGGCTAGCTTCGAGCACTGGAATCGCTCTCCGAAGCTCTGAGGCCTCTGCGACAGCGGCTTCCATGTCGACAACGATCTTATCGGATTTAGCCTTAGCATCAGCGAGCTGACCCTCTAAGTTTGCTTTGGCAACGGTCAAATCTCCAACCGACTTCTGAAGGCTCGCGTGCGCGCCCTCCAAAAGAGCGGCCCTCATTTGTGCCTGTGTTAAAGTTTTATTCCTCTTTTCCTCTACCTCTCTAAACTTTCTCTCCATCTCGTCTGCTCTTTCTTTCGCTTCTCGCTCTCTCTCTGCTGAAATATTTAACTTTTTCTCCAGCTCAGTAGTCAAGTCTTGTAAGACCCTCTTGGAGTTCACCTCCTCTTCTTGCACCTTTCGTCTCTCTTCAAGAGTTTTCTCTAGCGCAGAGATTCTCATTTGCAAGATTTCGATTGTTGCACTGGCGGCGCCTTCGTCAGCCCCACCACCCTCTTCCTTCTTCACGTCCTTGTCAACAACTGCGGCCCTCTCGTTGTCCTTCTGCCGTTGTGCCTCCAAGAATGCTGACATCATAGTTTTGATCTCCTCAACACCATTATGCTCGACGATGGGCACGGCGGGTTTCGGGGATGCAGCTAAATCCCGAGAAGCAAGAGCATCCATGACGACGCTCCTGATACGCTCTAGCTTCTTGTCTTCTTTTCTCTTGCCGGGGCTTCTCAAGACGTTACCACTATCGTCATCCGCGTCCTCTTCATCATCAGCATCACTCCAAGCGCCCTCCCTGTTAATCATTCTCTTCCTTAGGGGGGTGAAATCCTGCAAGGCAGAATATATAGCGCCAAGCTGCTTTTCGACGGGCCCGAGCCTCGTTTCAATTATTCCACCAACCACATTCTCAACCTGAGTGTCGAAGAATGAAGCACGGGCACGCAGCTTAGAGTCCTGGGTATCGTTATCGGGTAGCAAAGAATCCCAATCACTATCTGGCTCCAGCGGATCGATTGTCGGTATTCCTCGCTCCGCAGGAGTCTGTGGCACATGTGTAGTGAAATTATTAATCTTTTCAGGGCTTGCAGGGCTGGGTGCGTTGGCCCTCCCCCTGTTTTCAGCCGAAGTTGGTTGTAACGAGAACTTGGTTTTATCAGGAGGAGGGATATATTCTGGTAGTGCAGGTGCTGGTTGAATGCTCTCACTGCTGCTAGATGGGGAAGCAACAAATGCAGACTCTACCGGTGGGTTAAGTTGCACCTCCCTCTGTAGGTTGTCCGAGTCTTCTTCTTCTGGATGAAGCTCTTCGTCTTCCTCGCCATCGCCAAGTTCAGGTGCCGTATTCTCTTGAGTGAACATAAAATTAAAGGTGTCATTCAACTCCTGGGCTGATGGCATTGGAAGCCGTTCTGCAATCGGCGCAGATGAGAGTACCACTTGGTCACCTTCATGCTCGGCGTCCCCCGCGAATGTAAACTCAGCAGCCTCAGGGTCAAATACGACTTCGCCCCTCGTGCTGACTTCCTTCTCGTCGCTGGGGACAGAAATATCCTCCTTTTCCCTTCGCCCCATCAACGCTTGTCCGATCGCCAAATCTTCGAGCTGTTGGTATTCGCGGTCCATGACACCAAAAACATCACTTTTAGTTCGCTTCTCGTAGTGATCACTGGCACTGGCAGGCCTGGCTTCTGCGAAATTGGCGGCATCGGCT